TGGGGTAATAATTAATTACATGCTTACACACACAAACAAAACCACACATTCTCACTCTCACTACAATTGTTGCTGAATTTGGTATTAAAAGAAGTACAAAAAAAAACTCTCTCTGCACCATACACACCAACATCATGTTTGCAATGACTGACAGAATGAAATGCCTTTCATAAGTGATACTAAAGTGCAATTCTAAACACTAAAACTGCCAAAAAAATTAAAACTGGCAGCAGGAACACTTTCCCAACTTCAAATGTTTTAAATCCTCTTTGATTCGGTCAAAATTATGTAAAAAGTGGGAATAGCTGTATGTATGGAACTCACATCTTGTTTCCTAATAGCATATTGTCCTTTCTGTTGCTATTTTTGTGGAATGTAATATGCGTTTTTGAAATGCTGTTTATGATCAAGTTTATAAGTTAGAACCAAACTGCACACCTTCCTAAGCAAGAGGAATGCATATGTTTTAACTTCTTACGCAAATCCAAATAGCAAAAGGGGTTTATTTTACATTTTAGCATGGTGAATGGAGCCATACAAATCATTCTTTAGGGCAAGGTTGCAAACTATGCATCCACAGATACAAATTTGCTGCAATAGCTGTATGCATTATAACTTGCATACAGCTATTGCAGCAAATCTGGCCATCATCAGTGCAAAGTTTGAACATATGATTATGTGAAATTGGGATCTTGGACTGAAGCTCCTATCGCCTGGCTCTTCTAGCTGTGCTGGCACTGCCAAACCAGGTTTCATAACTTGCACCACCAAGGGTCAAATAGTCCAAAGCAACTATATATTTTGTAGGTTGGAATAGATTATGTTCAAGTGAGGTTGTGCTACAACCCCCTAGTTCAGGATTTACAGTTCGCCACAAAGGAATGAAAGAATGATCTGGATTGTTCCAGTCACTATCTAAATTCAGAAATACACCTATTATTTTGGGGGGGGATTTAGGATGGAAGTGATGCCTTTAAGAAGACATACTATACATCACCATGATTTAGAGGAAAGGTCTTATTGGTTCCTTTCAGCCTTCTTTACCCTATGCCAACTAGGTCCTAGCTCATAATAAAGAATCTGGTCTCTTACTGTGTACATATACATTTTTTTCTGTCTGATGTCCTGCTCTTTTCAAAGCAAGGTGCCAGACAGAAAACAAAAAAAAAAAAAACTCTCTCAGAAGAAATCAGATGAATCTTTTAAATTGCATCAGCATGGCCACAAAACTAAACTAAGGATTCACTTGTAGCAAAACACAAAGGTGACTGGAGCCTGTTCATGCAGGAAAGGCCAGTTTGCGTGGATTAAGTTTAGAGTAATGAGCTGCATCTGCACGATGTCTATCTGGACAAACCATACTGGTAGGTGGATAAACACCTAAAAAAGTTAGCCTGCCACCCATTTTAAACCTTTTGCCTAGGCTCTGGCACCACAAAGTGCTCTTACCTGTGTGCGCCTTTCTGATTTAACCTTACTTCATTACTAGTGACTTCTAGGCTAACCTCCACCCTGTTTAATAAGATAGCCCATTATTGGCCCTGCAGTGTTTCTATTGGAGAGGGGGATGGAAGTCGCATTAAGCTTAGATCTTTCTCTTATTTTAGAGGCCAGTAGTACTAGACTATATCAGAGGGGTGTACAGAGGAAGATTTTTTTTGGCTTCAAGACTAATAACTGGGGCATAATGTTTACCTTTAAATCTTTAAAATTGTTTGGTTTAAAGCAAAACAAAGTGGCAATGTCACCGCAGGGTCACTTTTACTCATGGCACCACCTGTAAAAAGTAGAAATATACTCTTTCTGGCAGCCTGTGTATGATGAAGCTGATGCATCTCCGTTCCCCAGCTACTGAAAGTATTCGATTGTTGGGGATGAGTCAAATACTTGCTTCCCCAGCCAGCTTCTGTGGTTCCTCCCAACAGCTCATGTGTCCTGTAGTGACATACAAGCTGGTAGGAGGAACCACAGCAGTTGGTGGGGGGAAGCGCAAGTATTCTACACACCTGAAAGTGAAGAATGCATGCAGAAGCTGATTTTCATTACACAAGTAGCCATAAAAGTGAGTATATTACTACTTTTACAGGCAGCCTGTTGAGTGAAAGTGGCCCTGTGGTGACCACTTTCGTTGTCATTAACTTATTTTAAGTAAAATATGATCCTAGGCTTCCATACCTTATGCAGTCAAGTAAATAAAAGCTAACAGACACTTATGACGGTCCTGTGTGTGAGGACACTACATCATTATATGATAGTCCTGGTGTGCTGTGTTTGAGGGCACCACAAGTGTCAGTAGTCCCTGTCCATTATATGACAAACCCGGTGTCCTGTGTGTCAGGGTACTATAAGTGTCAGCAGTCCCTGTCCATTTAATGCAAAGGGGACTGCTGACACTTGTAGTGCCCTCACACACAGGACACCAGGACTGTCATATAATGATTAGTGGGTCTGAGCTATGTACTGCAGCAAGGTTGATTTTTTTTTTTTTTTTTTGTCTTCTCATGTCTGGCCCCTGATTTTATTCACAACCTTTGGCATGGCCCTTAGTAAGTTTGGATTTGATACCCCCATTCTAGATGCTTAAAATGACACAGGTTTGGGTCGGCATGTAGCTGCATCCTTTCATAGGGTTGTATAGGCGGCTGCATGCAATTACACAGCACCTGTGCCTCTGGGGAGCAGGCCTCTGCACGCTGTACGGATGTACACACCCGCGTGACTGAATCCTAAGGGTTTCAAAAATATCTATCAAAATATCTTTTATTACAAAGGCTCCCGTGTCATCCCAAAAGTTAAAGATAGAGACTGCAGCTCTCTGTGGGAGAGCAAATCTGATTTACTCCCAGCTATTGCTGTCCAATCAGCAGAGTACATGCTTCCTACTCTAGCTCTGACTCTGGAGAAATGAGGGACCACTGCTCTCACACAACCTAATGGCAGCAGTCTTCATCTGCAACTTGCTGATGGGATCAGAGTATTAAATAGCAGTATTTAATAAACTAAACCGTAAGAGATTTAAATAGATATTTTTGTACCCCCTAACTTTTTCTTTTTTAACAATTGGACGTTAATATGTGTATTGCTCAGATTAACAGCAGCAGTAGCTAAAACTGGGTAGCGTAGGCCCAGAATAAATTTGGGGCTATGTCGATGCAATGGTGCTTAAAAGGAGTATTTGACCTACATGGATGAGCTGTAAAACCACTGTATCACCTGCAAATTAAATTTGCTTCTTGCCTTCCAAGAAAGAGGGACACAATGTAGTAATGGGCTAGGTTCTGAAGGATATGACTTACTTTTAAAAGTACTGTGTGAATGTCCTTTAAAAGTCTGTATTTCAATTAGTGCTGGATCTGCATAGCCTGATGTTACACTTTGGAGACTGTGAGTACTCATCTAAGTAAAGCGCAAGACTAATTAGCAAAATCACATAGTGCAAATGTAACACTGCATCTGACAGCAGACACAAGTGTGACAAAGTCATCTGCCACCTTTAAAGTGTCTTGCTATAGAAAACAAAAACTGTGATGGATTATATCTGTATGGAATAATTACCAAAGGAATGCTGAAACAAACCACACGGCAACTTGCTCATTCACACAGAGGATTAGCTGAGAGTTGAAATGGAAAACTCCTATAGTAATAGACATACTAGAAAGTGGTGGTTTCTTAATTTGGTCAAATAAAAAGACAGAAGTGGCTTTATAAAGATTAATTTTCTGTCACTTATGTTGCTTCCTCGTGTACGAATGTAAATGCTCATCTATTTTAGGAGAATGTTTGTTATATGCACTAATTGGTCCCCTAAAACGTTAGCATATTATTGCAAGCCATTTCCAGGTAATCACACTTGACACGTGCAATATATTAAACAGCACTCTTATCTCAATCTCTTGTGTTGGGGACCATCTGCGTGCATGTTTCTACAAACTGTTGTCATATGCCGCGGACAGTGTCCTGCAGGTCTAAACTTGAGCATCAGTCATAGGGTTCCCTGGCAGGAGTTCTCCATTCACCACACTATCCTGTGTCTTCTCCTTTCCAGCTTCCAGTTGTTGTGCCTTCTTTAGGTCTCTCTCATGGATAAGAGGAACTGACAAGAGAATCAAAGCTCCAACCAGTGGAGGAATGCCAGCAAGATAAAATGCCATGTCGTAACTACCGTGTAGATCAAATAGCAAACCTATTGGAAGAAGATTTTTGTTAGGAAATCATTTTGTAGCATAGCAAAGTATCAAATGAATTAGAACACACTTTTAAACAAAGTAAAGCAGCAAACAATTTCAGCATCTCTGTTAACAAATGAACAGTAGGATTTGAATGCTTGTTCTCCCTTGCATACACAGCTGCAAAAATGATTACAATCCTTACAGCTGTAAAGGATTTGGCAAGCAAAAGACAAATGACTGTCAAGTTAATTATTTCACAAAATACAGGGGCTATGGCCCAGAAGAAGGTAAAACACACACACGGGCAACCGTGAGAATGTTTTTTCTTAGTGGGAACAAAAACATTACTTCCCACTTCTAAAAAGGGGGAATTGGATCAATTACCTGAATACAACTATGTCTATACTCTCCTTTTACAATTGTGGGCAAGTGTAGGCGCCAAAAAAGTGGCACTAGATCCTTGCTGCTTTAAGAGACCCACATTTCAAATCAATCTGTTCAGGATGCTCAGGATATTCTTGAAGAAGCTGCTTCCATTCAGACAGAGACAACCAAAGCCAAACAGGGGTCAGGGTTCCAAGGTAGATTTGAATGGGGAAAAAAAAGGACAGATGGGGTGCCACCACAAAACAGTTTTGCCCCATCTTGAAACTCAAAGCTGTAAATGGTCTTCCTTTAAACCCACATATTCTGAATGGAATCCACCTGGGGTGTCATTGCCTTCCATTACCATATTTTGAGTTTCTGGCTTCTGTGAACATCAAGAACATGTACCTGCATGTCCTCACCTTGCTAGGGCATAGTTTCCTACATTTTCCTGTGGGGCTCCTATACCAGCAGTTTGTGGCCCTGCCCATCAGTCTCTCCTTTGTACCTTGGCTGTTTACCAAGTGCTGGCCCCAGTACTAATCCTGTTGGGCTTTCATATACTGGGATACTTAGACCAGTGTTTGTTAGTTTGTTTGTTTTTTTCCAGTCATAGCACCCTTTAAAAGTGTGCAAAAGCTCGAGGCACCACAATCTAAATTGTAAAAAAATGGTGTGGTTCACCACTACCCCATTCATACCAGAATATTCTTATCCTAGAAAGAGTCTAGTATGTGTTTTAAGGGGGGACCCCACACTGAAATAATTCCCCTCTTTCACAGAACATGCCCCCCCCCCCTTTACATCAGGAGCCCCCCCCCTTTCAGCTCAGGAGCCCACCTTCACAACATTCCCCCCCTTTCACCTCAGGAGCCCACCTTCACAACAGAGTCCTCAGACCCCCCACCCTTCACAGCCGAATCCTACTGTCACATCAGAAAGTAGCTAATCCACCTGCACCATTGAAACGCATGACGCTGTCCAGGTTCAGAAACAAACTGGACAGGTTTCTCTCCAGCTTTTGGGATTTTTAAAAATTTTTTTTTTAGCTGAAGCAGTAGATGCTATGACTACTCGATGGGATCAGTACACCCTGATTTTTGCCTTTTCTCCCCCAAAAGTTCTTCCTAATCTGCTTCACAGTATCGAGATGATTGCCCTGGAGGATGTGATACACCGATCTGGTAAGACTACTGGTGGATGCTTGTCGGGCTCTACCAGATCATCTGAATCTTCTGTCTCAAGAACTGATTTACAATCCTGCATCATGGTTGCTGGCTTTAATAGCTTGGCTGTTGAAGCCCAGGCTCTGAGAGACAGGTGCATCTCTGAGTTGGTGCTTCCTACGATGTTAAAAGTTAGGAAGCCTACCTCCCGTAAGGTCTTATCGTAGGGCATTGAAGGCATACTTCCCTTAGTGAGAGCCCTGGGGCTTCCATCCTAGGAGTTTTATGATAGGATGAATCCCCACCTTCGTAGAGCTGGTTCTGGACCAGTGTTTTGGTCTTAACACTATTAAAAGGTCAGGTTTCTGTCCCTTCCATCTTGTTTCAGAGAACATCGGCCTTTTACTCCTTGATTAAGACTTTTGTACAATATGTCACCCAGGTAGCTCCCCTTGCTTGTTCATCTGCAGGATCTGAATCTGGTTTCCTCTGTGCTTCAGAAATTGCCCCTTAGAGACATTGCTCTCTCCACTCTCAATCATGATGGCATTCCTTTGTAGTCTTCACCTCTATGAGGCAAGTGCCTGAACTAGCAGCCTTATCCTGCAAGGAACCTTTTCTGATTGCAGAGGGACAAGGTGGTTTTGAGGTCCAGGACTTTCTTTCTGCCTAAGGTAGTTTTTTGCCTCACACTTCAACCAGGACATCGTTCTTCCATCCATCTGTCCGGCTCCAATTTACCAAAGGAAATTTCCCTCCATTGTCAGGATGTGGTTTGTGAGAGTCTCTATAAGCCACTTTGACAAAAAAAAAAGGAATCTGTCTTTCTAAATGAAATCTGGATGGTCCCCAAAGGGTGCACCAGCATCTCGTTCTACCATCTCTAGCTGCCTCAGGCAGATCATCATTCAAAGCTTAAAAGAGAACTATGGGGTTGGTGTTTTTCCCCATAGTTCTCTTAGAGGTCACGGGAGGACATATACTAGCTTCCTCCTCTGACCCAAAGCTAAGTATATCGTAAGCTACAGCTCACGGAATACTGAGACTGCCGCAGGCAGTACGCATTCCGACAATGCTGTCAAGATCCACCCAGCTGCGTAAATGACAGCTGGCTCTGCCTATCTAGAGGCAGAGCCAGCTGTAGCTGCCCCCTCCCCCATCCGTTCCTCCAGTCAGCGCTGAAGGATCGGAGCGGGGAGGGAAATCCCTGCGGGGAGCGGTGACTGACAGTCACCGCTCTCTGCAGGGAGACGATCGTGAAGTGAGCGAGCAACGGTATGCGTTCGTTTACTTCCCGATATACTGAGCTGTACCGGTCTGTAATATGGCACTAGCTGGTTAAGTTTTAATAATTTGACAGAACTTAAATGTTGACAACGGTGTCACACAGTTATACTTTATTCACCAGTTTAGGGCTGCAACAACTATTTGATAATGAGAATCGTTGTGAACGATTCTCTTTATCGATTAGTTGATTCAGCTCACCTGCTTAACCCCTGCTGCAACTCTGCTCAGCCGTTAACTTTCTCCTTTAGGTCCCTCCTCTGCTGACTGACAGCAGGCAGTGGGAGGGTGCAATAGCCAGCCTGCTATTGGCTATTTCAAATTGCAGACTGGCTATTGCACACACCCACTGCCTGCTGTGTTTACATTCCCTGACTGAAGCTATTTAAGACAGGTGTGCTTGAATAGCTCCTTTGAAGTAGAAAGGTCACCTTAAAGAGAACCATTTTCTGCAGGAGACGTGTATCCAAACCTCTGTTTTTAACCTTGGTGTGAGACAAGTTTTTTTTACATGCTAGCTTGTGAGTGTGCCAGGAAAACTTTTTGCTATTTTCTTAAAGAGAACCTGTCACCTCCAATGCGCTATCACATAGGGGGCTTGTGAGCCCCCCATGTGATAGCAATGAAGTTAACAAAAAAAGTTTAAAAAGTTTAAAAAAATAAAAAAGATAAATAAATGTAAAAAATACCCCCAATTTTTTTTAAGGCCCCCTCCCCGCACGCGAATGAAAACGCACGTCAGGTGCACCTACGTACAAAAATTACATTGTTGGGATCTGTCCTGGCTGCGGCGCGGCTCTGCGCTCTCACCTTATAGTGGGCAATAACTCACTATATACACTGAGTTTTGGGTCACTGTAGGACATTAGTATAGTCATCCTGTGGCTGTGAAGAGAACTATGGCCAAAAAAGGTAACATTATCAGACAACTAATCGATTATGAACATAATAGTTAGTTGCAGCCCTACACCAGTTCTTAATAAGAACATTTTTAAAACGTTTCTTCCTTCTCTTTACAGCTATCATTTGGTTTCTCCCCTAGTCCCTTCATACCCAATATCCTACATTTAGATTTACCTCTTTACTCCTACCTTCCACAATGGCGACAATGTATACATTTATAAGTAAAGCCCTACTAACAAAATGTCTCTTTAAAAAAACACACACATACCTGCATAACATTACATTAACATATATAAACTCTAGAGATTGTGGCATTTGCTGTATTTTAGATCACGGTCTAAAACTAACCTGCAATTGGAGGTCCAGCAGTCATTGGAATGGACATGAGTCCCAGGACATAACCAATAGCTTGGGAGGCTTGCATTGGACCTGCCAGCTCAAATGCAATAGGGCTCATCATGCTAATGAGGAATCCATCACACAAGCCAAGGAACAGGCAAACTACAATGACACTCTCAAACATCTGGCACAGGGGCAGCATCATGGACATAATTCCGAGTAGCAGAAAAGAGGCCACCTGAAATGAAAAAGATCAGATTACCAGCATTTTAAGTTATGGCAGCATCTTAAAATGATGAATAAAATAGGAATTAAACATGGATACAATGAACTGCAATGTTCAGAGAAGGCACATTTTCTTGAAACTTATAATTTACTGGAAACAATGGCACCCGTGATGGTCTATGTAAAATTTCACACTACACAAGATGAGGTTTGCAGCTAACAAGCCAATCTGGCCAAACACAACATAAGGGTTCAGAACTGCCCTGGCAGGACATGCTGTTCGCTGCTGGAATTATGAGCAGTGAAAAAGTGTGAGATTAAACACTAATCCTAATGACTCTTTACTCTAGTGCAGATGTTTCCCTCCTTCATCCCACAAGAAAACAACTGCAAAAATTCATGAGGAAAAAGTGTCATGAGCAAACCACTGATATGTAGCAGTGGCTGCAGGTAAATCCTGAAAAGGAATTCACTGATCGCCCAGAAGTGTCAGCATTGGTTGTACTGCTTGGGAACAACTTTACAAAGCTGCTGTGGATTCTTATGATCTGCCAGTGGAGGCTTTAAAACAAGACTCCAAAAAATACAATCTACAACATTCACATTTGCTTGTTCATGTGCATCCTCTTGAAAAGAGCTGTGACATGAACTGCTATGGAGAAGAAGGAAAAATAAACAATGACAAAATTCCCCTAGAAAACCTTAGCTGAAGGAGAAGGTCTTCTCCTATAGCCAGCTTGCAAAGTACATAAAAGTATAGGCAAGCCCAGAAATAAAATGGAGACACCCTCTGCATAAGTCTGCTAGGTATTCACAACAGTAAGCTACAGAGAAGGGGACAGTAAAACTCCCTCAGCCCTGGACTAATAACTCCATTAAGAATCCCCAGTCGACTGACCTGAAAAGAAGTCCTGTGTAAACGAGAACACAGACAGGTAGTCACGCTGACTGTAGGATTGTCACAGAGAGAACGCCAGTATATTTGTAGATAATGAACTGTGAACCTGCACTGCGTGGCTAACTGGAGCACTGTCCAGGATTCTCATATCTGGCCTAAATCTACTAGTAGCTGTTGATTCCTACAGGAACCAACAGAAATTCTGGGCTGTCATAGAAAGAACACTAATATAGAAGTAGGAAACCCTGTGCTGGTTGGCTAACTAGCACAGGCTACGCTATTTAACATATCCGGCATGAATCTGTCAGCACTTGTTGGCTGACTGGATAGACTTCCAAGATTTAACATATCTGGCATGCAGCTGTTGATAGTAGAAACAACATTTACCAAATGTTTCTTGTTGCCAATGTCAATTCCTCCATTAGGCAGCAGTAGAACAGTCTAGCAATTTCTGTGTCCCTCAAACAAGAAAGCGAAAAATATTTTGGGTCTTTTTTTTATTAATGGTTGTTAACACACTGCTTTGTATTGCAGTTAGTAGCGGTGTTTATTCTGTCATGCATAACTATATAAAATATATGTTTTGAAAAAAAGAGGAATTTTGACTTTCCTGTAAATGTTTTAGGAGTACAGTACAGGATACAGTACATAGATCATAGGTTATATGCAGCTTCCCCTCATTTGACCAGACACTGGTAACAATGTTATTAGGACAGCCCCATTTAACCCCTCCCACTCCCAGCAAGCCCCAGCTTACATACATATCCCAGATAGCAAGCACAACTTGCCACAAACTTGTGGCAGGGTTAAATTGTAATTCTTGTTAACTTGCAGCACACATTCCTGCACAAGTTCTAGTTGACACTTTTTGAATTTGTAGCAAATTTGCTTGGCAAGTCTACAGCAAGAGTCCTGCTGGTCTTAGCAAGAGCTCTGCAAGTGTACAGCACTTTTGCAAAGCACGTTGGTCTGGAGACTTGCAATGCAGACTTGCTGTAATTGTGCAACAAAATTGTGAAGCTTGGCAAGCCTAGCAGACGTTTAGCAAGTCATTTTCAAATTTGCAGCTCAATTGCTTGCTATCAGGGATATAGTAAACACGTTCATGTGGAGAAAAGCATAACATATTGCTGTAGTGCTATAGATCTTTCACTTTTTTCAACATTAGAAAGTATGCATCACTACATACAGTATGTTATATGGAGAGAACAATTTTTTTTTTTTAGTAAGTAGATATTGTGAGCGATTACAGTGTTTACATTTTTAAATTACTTTTACATTTTTAGTAACTTGTTTTTTCATAGTGTATAAAATAAAGTGATGTTTGATTGACCAGCTGCTAAGATATGTGTCTTGCAAAGACTACAGTCTTTTGAACACAGCAAAACTTTTTATTTTCGGTAGAGTAGGTACGTTTCTATAAGGTTTTGTTTTTTTTTTTGCGGCCTGTGACCTAATTCAGGAAACTTTCTCACTTACAACATTGTCACCAGAAGAGGAAAGAAGATGACCCTTCCCCCACTTCATCCTAAACTAAAAAATTGTTTGGGCAGCAGATATCCTTCAAAGGGCAATATACAGTTGAGTCTGGCTCTCTTGACCTGAGGTTTCCCTTTTCATTCACACATGAATGTAGTTATATCATATTAAGATTTATGAATGATACCAAGCGTTTACCTGAATGTATAAGAAAATACATATTACTTAGCGCTTCATTCATACCATATCATTCCTACCAAGCGTCTATCCGACTGTATAAGAAAGTACAGATCACTTAGCTATCAAACACCCCTATATCACAATGTGCAGAAAGCTAATGGGACACATTACCCCTTCTGAGGAAGCCCTACATGAAATCCATATTGTCTGATATCTATCAAATCGTGATTTCTTTTGTGCAATAATATGCCAGTTGTTGGACTGTAAAATATGGTCTTCTGGAAATATTGATTTCGTTAGAAAAGCCCACCCCTCAGCTCTCGTTATTGGGGGAGTTTTGCTCAGCAACACTCTAGAGCAGTGGTGGCGAACCTTGGCACTCCAGCTGTGCCAAAACTGCAAATCCCAAGATGCATCTGCCTCTGGGAGTTATGTCTGTGGCTGTCAGAGCCTTGCAATGCCTCATGGGACTTGTAGTTCCAAAACAGCTGAAGTGCCAAGGTTCGCCATCACTGCTCTAGAGGGTCAACAAAAAGCGGCTAAAATTGGCAACAGACAGCTCTCGATTTTCAATCGAAACCCTTTCGGATTGCTAAGGGTCATTCACGAGAGCCGATGACATTAATACATCAGACGGGACTAGATTGGACCCTGTTGTAAACAAAGAAACTTTGTTAAGTACGTCTTACCCTGTTTATTTTCTGTTAGTATTGTCTGTTTTGTAACATCTTCTCTGTAAATATTTACAGTCACTGGGTGGCAGATTCCGCTTCTGAGCAGGCCTTATAACCCATCGCTTTAGGTGGCAAACCCCTTTTTGGGTAGACCTTGGAAGACACAAAAAAATCTCTCGGCAGGTCTTCACTGGGCCTTTCCTGTTGCAAAAGAGGGTTAAGACGGACACAAGTGCCTGGGGTTGGGGCGCCCATCTGAATCTTCGGGTAGCCCAGGGGGTCTGGTCAAAAAAGGAAGCAAGCAGATCCTACACTTGGAGAGTTGAGGGCAGTTTGGGACGCTCTTCAGGCTTTTTGCCTGGACCTCAAGGGTCAGCATTTCTAGATTCTATCAGACAATGCCTTGAATGTGCATACCTGAACAAACAAAGGGGTACTCAAAGTCATGCCCGTTGTATTCTGTCAAACCAGATTTCGGTCTGGGCGAAAGCTAACCTCCTTTCACTTTCGGCAGTCCATCTCAAGGGAACTCAGTGTATTGGTGGATTTCTTATTTCACCATCAGATGAGGGAGTCGGAATGGAGCTTAAACCAAGAAATGTACCTGTCCATTACAAGGAAATGAGGCAATCCCCAAGTGAATCTTTTAGCTTCCCAGTCAAACGCAAAAACAGAGATTTTCTTTTCTCTCTCCAGAAAGGGAGGAGGTTTCTGCAATGATGGATGTGCTAGCACATTCTTGGTCTTACCAGCAGTGTTGCGCCTTCGCTCCATTCAAATTACTGCCACTAGTCCTGAAGAAATTCTGGGAGGACGACGCAACTCATCTCATTCTCATAGCTTCCATCTGGTCAAAGAGAACGTGGTTCTCAGTCCTGAAACATCTAGGCAATATTTGCTCAGTCAGTATTTAGCAGAGAACCTACTGAGCCGAAAGTTCCCAAGCAGCTGTGAATGGGAGTTGAACCCTAAATATCTAAAGCCTGTCTTCTTGAAGTGGGGATCCCCGATAGTGGACCTCAGGGTGATTCCACAGAATATGAAGCTACCGACCTTTCTATGAATGTACAGGCCATGGATCAGGATGCATTCTCACTAACCTAGAATTTCCTATTTGTTTAGATCGTTCCACCGATACCGATGGTGTTAGAGGTTCTACAGAAGAGTCAGTCTATGACATCATCATTCTACCTTACAGGACTAAAAGGCTGTGGTTTCCTTTCCTGATGGCCATGAGTTCACCCCACCTCAGTTCCTTCCATTCAGGTGAGATCTTCTGAAGCAGGGTCACTGGCAACATCCAAACCCGGCACGACTTCATCTAGCAGCATTGCTATTTAATTGGCCAGACTAGATGGTCAAGACTTCTCCTCTTGGGAGGTGATTGCTACCATGCTTACTTCAAGGAAGTTCAATATAAATGCTATTTACAATACAATGCTATTTTTGCAGAAGAAAAATGTAACAACCCGTTTGCCAAAACTTGCAGGCATTCTAAAGTTTCTGCAACCAGTCCTGGATAAAAGGCAAGGCTTAGAATTCTGTAAAGCTTCAGATCTCAGCATTATCCTGCTTTATAAGCATAAGATTGACCGAGAATTCTAGGTGAAATGCTTCATGAAGATGGCAATCAGGTTGTGTCCACCGAAGAAAGCCCTGTTCCCTTCTTGGGATCTGGACTTGGTACTAAATTCTTAGTGTTTTTTGATGCTTAAAACTGCATTCTTATCTGACATTACTTTTACCGGGTGGATGTTGGAACTGTGCACTCTGTCACTCAAG